GCAGTCTCTTGGTGGTCTCTTCCTCCGACGTTTCGCCAGTCCCTTACATTATATATATAATATATATATATATATATATCTTTGTTATTGAGAGTCTAAGACTTTTTCTAGACTCTAAACTCACTGTTACCATTGTAAATCATTTTTTTGAAATGACTTTTCTTTTTTTTTAGTTTCTTTTTTTTCTTTTTTTATTCTTTTTTTTTTTAGAGAGAGAGAGGGAGAGAATTTTAATATTTATTTTTTAGTTTTTTGGCGAACACAACATCTATGATTGTATGTGGTGCTGAGGATCGAACCTGGGCCGCACGCATGCCAGATGAGCGCGCTACCGCTTGAGCCACATCTCCAGCCCTGAAATGACTTTTCTTAGAAATGGAATTACTGCAATGTCACAGAGCAAACCACTGTGACTGATAGAATGTCCCATGAAAACCTGGCATAGTGGAACACACCTGTAATCTCAGCAATTTGGGAGGCTGAGGCAGGAGGATTCCGAGTTCAAAGGCAGCCTCAGCAACTTAGTGAGGCCCTAAGCAACTCAGTGAGACTCTGTCTCTAAATAAAAAATATAAAAAAGGGCTGAGGATGTGGCTCGGTGGTTAAGCAACCCAGGGTTCAATCCTTGGTACAACAACAAAAAATAAATAAAAAACAAAAATAATAAGAAGAAGAAATAAAAAGGGTCTGGGAATGTGATTCAGTGTCTCTGGGTTCAATCTCTGGTACCAAATGGGGGGGAAGTTCCATGAATAAAGCAAGATGCAAAAAAATAGGTTTGGATCCAAAATATGATTAAAAACTTAGTTGTCCAGATGCAAAGAAAAAGATGAAAGGAATATACCAGAAGATTTATTATTGTTATCTTTGAATTAGTTATTATACATATTATTAATTCATATTTCATACTTTCCTATATTTCCAAGGATTTTTTTTCTTTTTCTTTTTCTTCTTTTTTTTTTTTTCTTCAGTACTGGTGATGGAACCCAGGCGGGCTCTACCACCGAATCACATCCCCAGCCCTTTTTATTTTAACTTTATTGAGACAGAGTCTTGCTAAACTGCCGAGGCTGACCTCAAGCTTGCAATCCTCCTGCCTTAGCCTCCTGAGTCACTGGAATTACTATTGTGTGCCACCAAGCCCGGCTGTTTCCAAGTTTTCTACAATCAGCATGAGTAATTTTTTTTTTTACAACCAGGGTAAAAAAAAAGAACAAGTTATTTTTAAAAGAGCCTGAGTGGTAGTTATTGAATACAAGCCACTGTGGCAGCTTCTAAGAAGTTTCCAAGATGTCATTAGGCTTAGGTGACTTGGCATTCTTGGTAGAGAAGATCATCAGGGTCACAAACTCAAACACTTCCATGTAATATAATGACAGAAATGGGCTAATTATACTACAACAGGGAGCAGCCAGGATTGCCACAAACTGAGCACCTCTGTCTGCCCCACACAGGAGAGCCAGTTGCTGTCATGGAATAACTCAAGCCCAGGGTTAGCCGACACACGGACACGGAGGAGCATTTATGTAAATTCCTTCCTCTTAGCTCCTTTTTCTTTTTTCCAGTGAGAGTCAAACAAAATCCATGCTCCAGTTTGCCCTCCTCTGTGACCTCAAGGTTAGGTAAGTTTCCTAAAATAAGAAAAAGAAATGGCACAGCCTTGCCTCTGAGCCCAGGAAGTCGGGCAGTGCGGGCCACACGTGTGGTGCATGAACTGTTCTTGCTGAAAAAATTGTTTTTCAAACTTCTGGCTTTTACTCCAAACTATGGCTTCCGATTGCCGGGTTCTAGTGTCTCTCTGTCATCCTGCTTAGACGCTGGGACTCAGGTCTATTTCCCAAACTGTATTCCAAGGAACACAAGTCCTGTGAGATGCTCTTGAAAACGATCGGGAAGGACGCCAGGGCTCAGTGGGTTTGAGAAATACTCACCGCCTTTTCTTTGCCACACAGAGATTCCCAGTGCGACGTCCGTTAGTACTTAAAGTCCCTGTCAAGTCCTGCAGCTTACTAAGCAAGTGGGCTTTGCTCAGTTGAGCACTTCCCAAGCGCACTGGGCTATGGGTCCCTTATGGGAGCACAGCTTCTATCCACATGTCACTGCTGCTGACGTGTGGACCAGAGAACACAGCTGGAGTTCGGTGTTTTGGAGCTGTTGGTGGAAAAAAAAAATCTATCAATCTAAGCTGCATGGATGTCAACATGGAGGAGGAGCAGAGGCCTGAGGGGTTGCAGGCCAGGCTCAGGGATCGAGAGATGCCGAGGGCTGTATTCTGGTAGCCTCATACAGCACACGTGTGGCCCCCAGAGCCCGACTTCCTGGGTTCTGAGGCAAGGCTGTGCCATTTCTTTTTCTTATTTTAGTTGTTGATGGGCCTTTATTTTATTCATTTGTATGTGGTACTGAGAATCGAAGCCAGTCCCTCATGCATGCGAGGCAAGTGCTCTTCCACGGAGCCGGACCCCAGCCCCTGGGCCATTTCTTAACCGTCTTGGTGAAGTGACTTAACTCTGCTGTGCTTCAGATTCTTCAATAAAAACTTTTTAAAAAAAATTTTTTAAGTACTGAGCCTGACTCCAGGGGTGCTCTACTGCTCTACCATTAACTGCACTCGCCCCTTTTTATTCTTTGAGGCCAGATCTCACCAAGTTGCTGGGGCTGGCCTTGAACTTGCTGTCCTCTGGCCTCAGCCTCCTGAGGAGCTGGTTTCGGGAGTGTGCACCGTGCGTCTATAGGCAGGGCAGAGACTTCCCTGTGGGAAGGTGTCCCCGACCCCTCTCCAGCCCCAGGAAGAGGAGACAAGTGACCACGCAGGGCTGGCTGCAGAATAAACTCTGCTCAAGTCCCCTCTCCCGTTTGGTCCCCTCACTTATTTTCCTCTCCAGGATCTGCCTCTCTGAGAATCTCAAAACCTTTTCCTTTATCTTTTCATTTCTCTACAGATTCATCACTCTTTGTTAAAATGACACCTGATCTCGCTGACCTGACTGCTTTGGGGCCTTTCACTTCCTTTTCTATGAGATTCTCATGTATGCCTAAAAAACTAAAATACACTGGGCATGGCAGCAACTTCAGAGGCTGAGGTGGGAGGACCACTTGAGCCCATGAGTTTGAGACAAGCCTGGGCATCCTAGGGAGACCCTGGCTCAACAAAATAAAACCAATCCAAGCAAAATAATAATAATAATAATAATAATAAAATATTCATATCAAATAGCCAAGCGTAGTGGTGTCGCCCTGTAATCCCAGTCACATGAGAGGCTGAGATAAAGATTGCCAAGTTGGAGGCCAGCCTCAACAACTTAGTAAGACCCTGTCTCCAAATGAAAAAATAAAAAGGGCTGGGGATATAGCTCAGTGGTAGAGCATCCCAGGTTCAATCCCTAGTACCAGAAAAAAAAAAAAAAGATAACTAAATTCCTGTTAATCTGTCTTTTGTCCACTTAACTTGCAGGGCCCCAGGCAGAGAACCCACGTTTCCTTCCCTACAGCCACACCAGTGGGAAAAGCCTATTGGTTGGATGGTCAGGAAGGAACGTGGGTCCTCAAGCTTGGAGCTCAGGGGTCAGCTCGGTTTGGAGAGGCATCTCCTATCCCGGGAGCCCTCTGGACCCCAACCCTCCCTCCCTAATCACATCCTATGGACTCTCCAAGTCCTACATCCTCATTGATAGCATGTCCATGTCCCTTTCTCTCCACCCTTTGCCACCTTGGCGGTTCCACTGTCCCCCTGTTGTATGGACATCTGCCCCAACCTGGGCCTCCCTGACTCCACTCCGCCAATATCTTCTTGGCCCCTGCTCAGTTCCTCTGTCTCACCCCCTCCGCGCTGTACACCTCAGCTTCAACTCCTGAGGGTCCATGTTCTCTGCCTCCTCCCAGCTTTGGCACAAGCTGCATCTTCTGCCTGGAGACCTCTCTGTTCCTCCCACGCTGGGCTTCAGGTCTTCTGGGGCACCCTCCCCGACCCTTGCCTCTGGGAACACCCCTGTAGGGTCCCGGGGCCCCCGGCGCTCACCCTCACCGGAGCGCTGGGCATGGTGTGCTGTGGGTGCTGCAGGCCTGGTGCCCCACATGGAAGGGGGCAGCCTGTGCAGGAGGGAGCCTTCGCCCACCCGGTGCCCGCACACAGTAGGTGGAAAAGAGATCATTCTGAATGAATGAACAGGCAACGAGCCCACTGCTGTCTACCCTTGCCATTTACATCGCCTCCTCCTGCCTCCTCCCAGCAGCAAGTGTTCATCGGTTCCCCTGAGCTGCGCGCGGACCACTCCACTCTCAGTGAAGACCGCCATCTCTAACCTTCTCAGAAGGTGCAGTCCACTCACTTCTACCGAATTTTATGTACAGCCATTCGGTCCGTCTTCCTCATTCCCATCTGGGTGCCCCGTTTGGCTGGGCTCTGTCCTTGGTGTACACCGCCTGGCGCCAGCAGGAGGAGAAACCGGTTTGCCTGTTCACGTGAGATGTGTTCATGGAAAACCCACTCACTGGCCAAGAACACAAGGAAGGCGCTGTGTCTGCCCCTCTGGGGCGTCTTGACCAAGGAACCTGAAACCCAGACTCCCCTGGCTGCCGCCCTCCACAAAGCTGAATGCCCCACACCAGGTCCAGACGGCCTCACCTCGGGTGGCCTCCTTCTGGATGTCCTGATTCCTGGGAAGAATTTAGGTTGCCAGATTAAAATTTAGGACACCCAGTGAAGCTTGAATTTCAGATAAACAACAAATATTTGTTCTTAGTATGGATATGCTCTATATATTGCACTGGGACATGGAGATACTAAAAATTACTTGTTATGGATCTGGAATTGGAATTTAACTGGGCATCTTCTCCCCCCACCCCACACCCCCATCTGGCAATCCTAAACAAACGATGCGCGTTGGGATTCTGAGCCAGCGGCCCCGCTGCCAGCTGCGCAGGGAAACTGGGCTGATTTCTGGTCCGGGGAGGAGGCACTTGAGCAGTCACAAGGCCTTTATTCATGCAGAACAAGACTGTCCTTTGGTCCAGGAGGGAGATAGAGGAGGACAGCCTCAGCTGTACGGGGAATCACTTGGATACCTTCTAGAAAGTTCAGAGCCCAGGCCACCTACAGGTAAGTTAGAACAGAACCCAGGGCTCAGACCCAGGCTGGATGTTTTTAAAGTTCCCTAGAAGGTTCCTCAGAGCCAGTGGAGGGGACTACTGGTCAACCACGGCTCTCCTCTCCTCCCACAAGGCACCTGCTCCCCAGCCTCCCCCTCCGCAGCCTGGAGAACTGTCATTCAGCGAGCAAGTGGGTATGGGGGCTTCTAATCCCCACAGCCTGGAATCTGATGCCAGAGGGCTGAGGTCACCAGTCCAAAGGGCTGAGGTCACCAGTCCAGCGGGGCTGCATGCTGGCTGGCCGTGGAGCTCCGGGTGAGAGGGGGCTTCAGGATTCCCCACCTTAGTCTCTAGTTTGTAAGGCTGACTCCAGCGGGGTACGGAGGCCTGGCCAGCCTGCAGTGACAGGCAGGATGAGATCCGGGGTTGAAAGGCCAACTACAGGCGGAGCGTGGTGGCACACGCCTATGACCCCAGCTACTTGGGAGGCTGAGGCAGGAGGACTGAAGTTACAGGTCAGCTGGGCATCATAGCAAGTCCCTGCCTCAAAATAAAATAAAAAGGGTTGGGGATGTGGCTCAAAGGTCAAGTACCCCTGGGTTCAATCCCTACTTTAAAAATGTCACTTACTGCCACACGCAGTGGCACACTGCGTGTAATCCCAGTGATTCGGGAGGCTGAGGCAGGAGATCATGAGTTCAAAGCCAGCCTCAGCAAGTTAGTGAGACCCTAAACAACTCCGTGGGACTCTGCTCTGAATAAAAAATAAAAAAAGGTCTGGGATGTGGCTCAGTGGTGAAGTGATCCTGTGTTCCATCCCTGGTACCAAAGAAAAAGTCACCAGCCTGCTGACAGCCTAGTGGCCCCGGGGCAGACCTCAGACCTAAAACAGTCTGCATTTTGACAAGATGCCCAGGAGGTGTGTGGGCACACGAGTCTGAGAGCACTTGTGGGCAAATGTGGCTTCTGCAGACCTTGGGAGGGGCCTGAGAATCTGCATTTCCCGTAAGGTTTCAGGTACTGCCCAAGCTGCAGGCTGCATGCGGGCACACCTTGAACGCTGAGAGTGTAGGATGGTGCCGCTCAGCTCTGCTGCCCAGCACAGCAGAGGCCACAGCGACTGAACTCCAGGGCAATCAAGGCAGAATGTGAGGCACAGGCATCTTTAAAAACTCCCCAGGGCCACATAGCACACGGAAAACAGGCTCAAAACGGAGCTGGCCTGAGTTCCAGACCCCTGGAGACCTGCCTGGAAACCTCACAGACGGACTGGACCCCTTTCTGGTCCATGTCCCCTGTGTCCAGTCACTGTGGACTCACAGCCTCCTTCCTTCCCGTGGTTACAGCCGAGTCCTAGCGTGGATGGCATCTGGAGGTATCGGCCACACTGGGGACTGAACCGGGGGCCCTTTACCAGAGCCACTACCACAGCCTCTTTCACTTCTTATTTTGAGACAGGGTCTCCCGAAGTTGCCGAGGCCAGCCTCGAACTTCTGACCCTCCTGCCGCAGCCTCCTGAGTGCCTGGGCTTACAGAGGTGCGCCCCTGTGCCCGGCTGAGCCAGGCCCATCTAAAGTCCTAATCCCGAGTCTCCTCCCAGGACTGCAGCTTGGCAACAGCCAGGTGACTCCCCCTCTGGGACTTGTAATTAGTGCACAGAAAGAGTTCTTTGTGATCCACAGATGAAAGGCCCTGGCTATGCCATGTCATCACCACAATCGGAGTTTCTCCATCTGTAAAATGGACTGTAATGAGCAGCTTGTTCACAGAGCTCCTGAGATGAAAGGGCCAGGAAGTGGCCGGCCGGAACCAGCCCTGTGCAGGGTGGCCTCCGCCCTGCCCTCCCTCTGCTGCTCCCTGGGCTCCGGTGCCCCTGAGTGGCCAAAGAGGAGGACGGAGGGGCCTGAGCTGGACAGAGCAGGGGTGAGCCTGGAGACGGGGGAGTGGGACTAGGGATGAAAGAAGAGGGGTACTGACCCCACAAAGTGGCCATGAGGAGTAAGGGAGAGGGCGGGGGCAAGCAGAGGGTCAGGCCTGGGCCGGCGGGGGTGTGGGGGAGTGGGGGGTTGTGTTTATGCAGGGCTGAGGCGGTAGATAAGCTCCCAGCCTGGAGGTCGAGCCTGGAGGCTGGAAGACAGCGTGGCAGTGCTCTGCAGATTCCAAGAACTCATTAAGCTCAGCTCAGCTTTCGGGATGAGGCTGCTGTGTTCTCAGCCTGCACCCGGAGGACCCCTCCAGTTGCAGATGCACAGACTGGGGAGGGGCTGGGGAGGGGCTGGGGAGGGGCCGGCACTCACAGCCTCCCTTCCAACCCAGGTGCTCCTGTGGACTTGCTTCCCTGCCAGAGTTCATCTGAAGGCAAGGTTCCCATGGGTTCCACATGCTCACAAACAGCTGTTTTCTGCTGGGGGAGTAAATGGGAAAAGGCTCTCCTGGTGTCTTAGCTGTGTGACCTTGGGCAAGCAGCTTCCCATCTCTGTGCTGTTTTTCTGAACAGTAAAGGGTGAAAAATACTGCCTCCAAGGTTTGGTGTAAGGATTAAATTAGTTTATATGTAGTTTATAAAAAGTTTATACAAAGCGCCTGGCAATGGTTGGAGCTCTGAAGGGGCCCCTCTGACCCCCGTTATTACGAGAAGCCCATCTTCCCCCCGGCCAACCTCGCTGGGCACAACACCTGACACCCACAGATGTTTCCTTATGGAATCTTCTCGAGGATACTTCCAGCTAAAGACACATAGTGATTCATGGTGCAGATGTTGACAGAGGCCCAGAGGAAGAGGAGGCCGGGTGGGAGCTGGGAGCCCCAGCTCAGGTCTCCGGGGCCAGGCAGAGGGCTGGCACCCCCTCCTCCACCCTCAGGACCAGTGGCCAGCTCAAGAGCCAGCTCATCCGTCTTCCAAACACCAGGAGCCGGCGGCCCAGTGTGGCCCAGGGAAGCGGGTGGTGGCAGGCCCAGTGTGGAGGGGCCCTGGCAGCCAGGACAGGCTTAGCATTTCTTCGAGCTGGGCTGCTGGCTGCAGGTCCCTGTGTGTCCCTGGATGAAGAGGGCAGGTGGTCAGAGCTCCCAGGGCTGTCACTCCAGGGTAGGTTTCTTGGGCGGGGCGTGGAGCTGGCTGGTAGAGAGCTTGCCGGCCTGTGCAGAGGCCCGGGGTCTGATCCCCAGCACTGAAAAGGGGGGAAACAAACAGATTTCTTGGCTCCCACAGAATCGAATCCCAGTGTCTAGGGAAGAGGCCCAGGGGTTCAAGCTGGCCCAGGGAATGATGTTCCAGGAGTAAGGCCCCGGGCAGGCCCTGGGCAAGGGTGTGCTTGCTCACCTGAGCTGCTGTGCACCTCCTGCCCCTAGAACCCTAGCTCGGAGCAGTGGAAACTTCCTTCCTGGCACCCAAAGCCATCTCACTTTTTCCCCCTCTTTGGTACCAGGGATTGAATCCAGGGGTCCTTACCCACGGAGCCCCGTCTCCAGTCCTTTTTGTATTTTATTTAGAGACAGGTCTCACTGAGTTGCTTAGAGCCTCAATAAGTTGGTGAGGCCGGCTTTGAGCTCACAGTCCTCCTGCCTCAGCCTCCCAAGTCTCTGGGATTGCAGGCTGAGCCACTGCGTGCGCCTGGCTCAAAACCACTCACTTTGCCAGACGGCCTGACACTGGGCCCCGATTCCCTGAGCCAACTGCTGGGCTGGCTTTTGCCTCCGTGTCCTCTTGCAGGTGACTCCCCCTCCCTTCTCCCTTTTACCAGACCCTCCTCTCCGGCCCCTCCTTCTACCCCCGCATCCCAGAACTGCCCTTTTCTCATCTGTAAAATGTCGGAGTTGCTCTCATATTTGCTTAAGGTCCTTTCCTGTGAAACCCTGAACAGGCTGGTGGTCAACACTGCCGGCCCCTCTCTAGGTGGGACAAACCCCACCTCCTCTTTCGTGAACTGATTAGGGGTAGTCTCCACTTGGGTGGGTACTGGAGGGCGTGGGCATGGACCCACATTGGAGTCCATGTCTGGGCAAAATCAGCGAGAGTTCCCTGGGACTGGATTGCAGCTCTCTTCCACCCACTGAGAGAGAAGTGTTCGGGCAGCCAGAGCACAAGGCCACTCCAAAGAAAGTGTGAAGAACACACCATCCGAGGGAAATCTGTTGGGAGGTGTTGTATAAAAAATAAAATCTACAAGTCCAGCACCATGGTGCAGCCTGTAATCCCAGTGACTGGGGAGGCTGGGGCAGGAGGATCACAAATTCCAGGCCAGCTTCTGCAATTTAGTGACCCCCACTCCCCCTTGGCAACTTAGTGAGACCCTGTCTGAAATGTTTAAAAATTATAAAATAATTCTTTCTATTTTTAAAAAATTAAAAAGGGCTAGGGATGTGGCTTAGTGACTTAGTTCAATCCCCAGTAACAAAGGGGAAAAAAAAAAAAGAAAAGCTACAAAGGTGTTCTCCACCCAGTCATTCATTGCACACGTCCCAGAACCAACCCAATGCCAAGGTAAATCCAAGGGGCTTCTTGTGCAAGGGAGCCTAGAGGGCCTGGCCTTTGTCACCTGGGATCAGTGCAGGCCCCGAACATCTGTGTGGTGCCGGGCAAGCTGCTCAACCTCTCTGAGCCCCCAGGCCCCATCTGTAAGATAGTCACAATCACAGCCAGGCCTCGGGCTTGTGGTGAAGGCCACGTGGGATCCTGTATGGAGCACGCTTAGCACGTCTGCGTGTCCCATTGCAAATCCCACAGACCCCAGGTTCCTGTCTTGATGAACTGCAGTGGGGGGTAGGACTTTCAGTCCTTGATTGAAAGAGAATTGTGACCTCCAAGTACAAAGATATGTGACTGTGAACAGTGATGACACATTAAATACCCTGTAAAATAAATAATAAAGAACTAGTCCAGCCTGGGCCCAGGCATTTCCTTAATAAACAGGAACTTTGCCTGGTGTGGTGGCACATGTAATCCCAGTGACTCAGGAGTCTGAGGCAGGAGGATCGTAAGTAAGTTGGAGGTTGGCCTCGACAACTTAGCAAGACCCTCAGCAGAGACTTAACGAGACTCTGCCTCAAAATAAAACTTAAAAGGACTGGGGAGGTGGCTCAGTGGTAAAGCATCCCGGGTTCCATCCCCAGTACCAGACAAACAAACAAAACAGCAGCTTCCGTTCTGCTCGGTAGTTCAAACCCACCCTCACAGGTCACCTCCATGGTGACCTCATCCACAGCATCAGCCTCATCAGCAGCAGTGACACCAGGCCCCAGCTAAGGGACAGGTGACCCTGGACTCATGTAACCCCCTCACCACCCTCTGAAGTGGGTGCTGTCACCACCATATCCACCTCCACACCTGACGCTTGGAGAGCTCCGTGCTCGAGGTCACAGCAGGCGTGTGGCACCATGGGACCCGCACCCCGAGGTGACCGGAGGCCAGGCCCAAGAGCGCTCATCATGCAAACACACCCACGTGGCCAGGAGCCTCCGAGGACGGTGGAGCCTGGGGAAAGGGAGAAAGCAGAGGCAGGAGGAGTGTGCAGACCCAGGGACACCTTGAGAGAGCCCGCCTGTTTTGTCGGGTGACCTTTGAGATACCTGTGACTCTCAAAACAAAGCCTAATACTTTGCCAGCACATTGAAAACTAAACGCAGCCCTGCGGTGCGGAGAGGGCGGAGCTGGAGAGGCCCGGATGAAACTCAGATCCTGGGCAAACGTTGACTGTGACAGTCTGTTTGCACTGGGCAGCTGCTGTGTGGCCTGGGGGGACGGGGGCAGGAGGGCAGGGCAGCTTCGTGGGCCCTTGTCCCAGGAGTTGCTCTTACTGCCAGGGGCCTCCTGAGTAGGAGGATGTGAGGGACGAAGAGGCTCACAGTGACCCTGGCCCCAAAGGGCAACAGCATCGACCTGGGGTGAGCCCCAGAGGGAGGCCTGGAAGGAAGGAGGAGTCCCAAGGCTCAAGGAGGCCTGGCTGCAGAGGACCTCAGGAGGCGCAGGTGGAGGGGGTGCCCAGGACGGAGCCTCCCCAGATGGCTGAGGCCTGGCACGTGCTGTCCTCCTGTCCTCCTGTCCCACACTCACGCTCGGCTGAAAAAGATGTCTAGAACTCACCAGGACCTGGGAGGGGAGTGCCACAGCTCCCGAAACCAGAGGAGGCCCCAGGGCAGGAGGCGGAATCAACCCACAGTCACTTTCTACCAGGAGGCTCTGATTTCTCCAGCTCCCGCTCCTCTGAAGCCTCTGTTTAGAGCTCACTGACCCACACCCGAGAGGGGCCAAAGGGCATAGAGTCCTACACTCAAGGCACGTGGCCCCAAAGATGCTGAATCCCGAGGCAGCATGAAGATGGCGCGGGTCCCTGGGGATGGGGCAGGGGGAGCAGGTAAAGGCGGCATAGAGACCAGTGGGAATGCTGTTACAGGACAAATCCAAGAAAGTCCTCCTAACCCACTCAAGACAACCCAGAGGACACCCACTCTCAACCCGAGGGTGGCTGGGCAAAGACCCAGGACGAGAGGAAAACAAAGACCCACGATGATTTCTCAGGGCATCGAGAATCTTCCACACCATGGGGACAGGTGCCTGTCCCACAGTCCTCACAGCCACTCTCAGGGACGGAGAGCAGCACACAGCTGCAGAGTGAGCACTGCACATGGAGTCACGCAGCCCCCGGCACAAATTCCAGATCTGGGCATTCCCACTCTGCTTAGGTCCTCGCCTGTGAGATGGGGTTCATGGAAACCTAAGGAGGCAGAGACAGGGATTCACTGAGCAGCACTCTGTGCCAAGCCCTGTCACAGGTGACGGCAGGATAAAGGGAAAACACAAAGGTCCGCTTTCGTGCAGCTGATAAGGAGAACGCAAGATGGTCCATAAACTCGGAAACAGACACAGGCTGAGGACAGGGTGGCGGTGCTGGGGGCGGGAGACAGCCACTTCATTTAGGGTGGTCAGGGAAGAGCTCTGAGGAGGAGGTAGGCAAGTATCTGGGGGCAGGGGGTTCTGGCAGAAGGAAGATCGAGAACAAAGGTCCTAGGCAGGAATCTGCTGTGCTAGCAAGGAACAGGAGACCCAGGGAGACCCATCTGGCTGGAACTGAGCAAGCCAGGTGGATGGGAGGAGATAACATCAGAGAGGTATTCAAATAGGAGGAGGCAGAAAGGATCTGGATTTCACCCTGAGTGAGCTGGAAAGGCAAGGACAAGATATGGTTGGCGTCAGGTGCCATGGTGCATGCCTGTAATTCCAGGGACTGGGGTGGGGGGAGGCTGAGGCTAGAGGATAAAAAGTTCAAGGCCAGCCTCAGCAACTTTGAGAGGCCCTAAGCAACTTAGTGAGACCCTATCTCAAAATAAAAATTTAAAAAGGGATAGGGTTGTAGCTCAGTGGTAAAGCACCCCTGTGTTCAATTTCCAGTGCCCCTTCACCAAAAAAAAAAAAAAAAGAAAAGAAAGAAAGAAAAAGAAATGTCCAGTGACTGAAATGAGAAAAACTTCAGGACGAACAGGTTTGCAGAGAGGAAATCAGGAGTTGGGGGGCATGTTAAGCTGGAGAA